GTGTGCGTCTATGTGTGTGGGCGCCAGCAGACATGGGAAGTCGGGCTGTGGAGCTGGAACTGGATTAACTACTTCCAATGGTTGGGGGTCACCACAACATGAGGGACCGTATTAAAGGGCCGCTGCATTAGGAAAGTTGAGAACTACTGTTCTAAAAGAAAACAAGATGTGAAGCTATTGTATGTTGGCACATCTCTAAGTCTACAGACTTTGGAAAGAGGTATTTCCATCTTTCTAACCTTTCCTCGTTCTGTGCTGTCAGGAGTGGTGGAGGAATAATGATAAAAACTGAATAACGGATACAAGGGGATATAGGGAATACAGGAGTGGGGGATAGGGGGTGACAAGGAGGGAAAGGGGATTTGGGGAGTAAATAATGAAGATGGGAGCAGGGAGGGAGCACTAGAACAGATTGTGATTGCATAACTCATTTTAAAGGTGATGTAACCATGGGGAGGGGAGGGGGGGTGCTCTAAAATAAAAACTGACACGATAATTATTGTACAATTCTCCTTGATGTGACTGGACAACCGGGCTACTGAATTGTAAATGTGAAATACATGCCAATACAATGTTTGGTGTGTGTGTGTGGGGGGGGGCATTCTCTGTTTTCTCATTTATATCGAGGAGCTAAACTCACGCTCCTCTTAGATTTTGTCTGAGTTTTGGGGAAACAATGAAGTCTGAAGGGGCAAGATCAGGGCTGTCGGGTGGGTGGGGTAAGGTATTCCAATGACATTCTTGGGGAATGCCCTTGCTACTCTGGAAGAATGAGCAGATGAATTGCCATGCTGGGGCAAATTCCTTAGTGCAGCTTGCCTGACGGTTTCCCATCAGTGCAGTTCACATACAACTTCCTAATAAGTCTCCTAATTTTTGCCCAGTGTCCTTTGAGACAGTCTATCTGAGCTGAGCTGTATGCCTTCAACTTAACTGGCCCAGGAGACTCCTTCAGAAGCCACTTTTGGGTTGGACCTTTTCCCCCCACAAGAAGAGAACTTGTTTGCAGCCATCCACTGATCACAGAGGCATGTTTAAACATGTTTAGTTTGTGTATGTAGGACTTTGAACCAGAACACTAGCAGTAATACTCTTTTGCCGCATATAGTGAGTCCAAGATCAAAACAAAATAAAAACAAAACTCCTTGTCATCCAGGCTATTCCGACTCACAGGGACCCTGTAGGGCAGGGGAGAACTGCCCCTGTGGGGTTCTGAGACTGTCAGTCTAGGTAACTTCCCCACAGGCCATGTAGCCCCTCCCAGGCTGGCCCGCCTCCAGGCGCTCCCCACTCACCCTGATCATCTCGGCAACGTAACTCTCCGGTCCCGTGTATTCTGTGGAGTCCTTCACTTTTACCAGCACAATGAAGCACAGGTAATGCCACATGTTGTGCTCTTCCTTGATGTGTTCTTCAAAGGTGACTGTCTTGTTGTCAAACTTGTCTCTCTCCAAACCTAGAAAGAGACCAACAGGCCCCAGGCCCGAGTCACCGTGGGTTTTCATTGAGAAAGAAAACCCAGAAGGGTGATACTTCAGTCCTGTCTAAAGAGCTGGGTTCTCACCAGGCCTCGAGGATGATATTCCCGATTAGAGCAGCCAGTCCACAGAGAAGACCAGATGGCCGGCCGCACTATGACGCATGACGTCCCTCACTGACTCATAGCCCTACAGGGGACAACACTGGAGACACAGTGTGGGAACTGCGCCCGATCTGATCC